TGCCAAGTATTCAATACAAAACATATCTGCTACCTATCAGATTTCTTTAAAGGGGACGGTTGAATTACCTATCTCCATATCTTTTGTATCGATTTTCCCTCCCTATCTGTATAATATGCACATGAAATTGCATATGATCACTTGTATAATATTAGTTGAAAAAATATTCGGAAAATAAATTAAATATAGAAAAAGGATCGAACACGAAATCGTGGACAATTATATTGGGTACATTTGGTTTAGTGATTTTAGTAATTAGCTGCAATGCGCTATAAATGATGTAAAGTTAATTCACTCCTAAGAACATATATAATGCCTTCATTCACCTTTCATGTAACTAAAAAAAAATAAACACTTTTTTTTTTGCAAATTAAAACCGACTTTTAAAAAAATGCCTTCATTTGTCGAAATTAATAATTCAAAATTACATTTCTGTAGACTTGATATTATAAAAGGTGTTGAGCATCTAGACAAGAAATTTGTTGGTAAATATTATAATACATTTATAATATAATATTTATTTATTTCTACGATTATAAAGTAATTTTCAATTTTCAATTTTTTTTTTTTTTAAAAAAAAAAAATTAGATTTGGCAAGTTCTAATTTGGGAGGAAAGATCATTGAATGCAGTGATGAATTTTTCGCTGAAGCCTCTAATTTACTTAAACCATACAAACCTGTCAGAAAACCTGGAAAATATACCGGTAAACAAAAAGAACCGTTACACAAAATTTTCTTTATTTTATTATTATTTTTTTTTTAATGGTACAATTTTTTTTTAAATCAAGAACGTGGATCATGGATGGACGGATGGGAGTCTAAAAGGCACAACCCCTCTCACGATTGGTAAGAGCCAGTTTATTTTAATCGACATCTAATTTCAAAAATTTCGTCAAAATTAAAAGTAATTATATTATTTGTCACAGGGTCGTGATTAAGTTGGGCTTCGAAGGTCATATAACAGGATTTGATATCGATACTTCATATTTTGAAGGAAATCAAGCTCCTTTAGCTGATGTTGAAGCTTGTTATTCTCCTCATCATGATCATGGCAATAACACTAATGTAAGATTTTTAAATTTAATTTTTTGTTATAAAAAAAAATTTGTTTATTTATATTTTTTTCTTCTTATCAGTGGCATAAAATTTTGCCCAAAATTGATTTAGGTCCAAATTCTCAACATTTTTTTGAGATACAAAGAACTACCATGAAATTTACTCACGTTAGATTAAATATTTATCCCGATGGTGGTGTCGCACGATTTAGAGTTTATGGAATCGTAAGCGCAAGATGGCCAAAAGATCTCTCAACACCAGTAGACTTGGCCTACGCGGGTAACGAAGGTCGAATAATCTCTTACAGTGATCAGCATTACGGAAAATCGGAAAATATTTTATTGCCAGGTCGTGGAAAGGACATGAGCGACGGATGGGAAACACGACGTTCTCGTCAACCTGATCACAAAGATTGGATAATAATCAAATTGGGATGTCCAGGTTATTTGGAAAAAACTGAAGTGGATACAGCATTCTTTAAAGGGAATTATCCCGATCGTGTATTACTTGAAGGTTGTTTTTGTAATAAAGATGTGCTTTTAGAGGATGGTGGTTCAAATGTGGATTGGGATATTATTTTAGAAAAAAATAAACTTGGACCTCATAAGCAACATTATTTTGACTTGAAGAAGAAAAATAAAAAATTTTCGCACGTTAAAATGACGATATTTCCTGGTAAGTTTAGAGGATGCTACTTGTATCTAAATCTTATTTTATTATTATTTTTTAAAAAATTTGACATTTTCTAGATGGTGGAGTTAAACGATTGAGAATTATTGGGAGAAGAGAACTAAATGACAAAGTGGATGATTATGTTGTAAATAGCGAATTATCCGAGACGACTCATTCATCAGTAGTACATATCGTAGCCACACCATTAACTTATGCCTCCTTTTCACCATACGGAAATATAATTCAATCATTTCCTGAACAAACTTCTACTCAAAATTCCATTTCAATAACTCATGGTATTAAAGTAACGTCTGCTAATCAAGGGACCGCACGTAAATACAATCATGTTGCTTCCATCATAAATTATCGCCAATCAAATATTCTACTTAACAAAGATCAATCGAGTGATAAAACGCGTGTAATTGCTAAAGCTGTGCCTAATTTAAGTCTATATAAATGCTCGCCTGTAAAATCGCTTCCGTTTATTGTACGTTTATTAGAAAGACATCCCTATTCGTCACAAACGTTTGTACCTATGAGTGATGGTAAAGTTAAAGGATATTTGGTTGTGGTATGTCTAAATAATGACGCTGGTAAACCAGATTTGAGCACTCTTAAAGCATTCGCTGCGTCAAGCACCCAAGGAATTAATTATCATCCCGGTATTTGGCATCATCCTATGATTGCTTTAGAAAATGTAAGCTACCATTTAATTTTCATATTTGTAAGATTTAAGAGATCGAATTTGTTTAATAATTATATTATTTTCTTCTTAGACTATGGAATTTGCATGTTTAACGCATGAATCAGGAATCACCAATGAAGATTGTGAAGAAATTGAATTTGAGGAAAAAGATTTTGTCGCAGTTGATGTTCCAGGATTTCACTAATCAAAATTTTTCAGGTTTTTGGGTAATATATATATGTATACCATCAGGTCTTTTACATATTTTAATAATTCGTTTAATTTCATTAATCTTTTGTCAATTGTAGTCTGATTTTTTTTTAGATATTTGTATTTTCATATAATTAAATTCTAATGTTTTTGATCAAATAACAATTTTTCGAGATTTTCGCTATAGCAGTTAATCGACTTATGGTTTGGTTATAAATTATAACTTTAAAAAAAAACGGATTATCAAAATTGTAGGTTCTTTATTACGATTTTATATGTTCAAATATAAAGCCAAAAATTTAGAATCGTATCATTCGAAAAAAAAAAAGTCCGCATTATGTATTACCCCTAACCCTAAATCTATGAACGTCTGTAATCTGTGCCATTTTATGTCGATCATGTGATATATAAGAGGTCAAAAGTAGTCAAAAGTCCCCAGAATACTTAGTAAATGAAAATAGCGGTGGTGTTGACTTGGCG